GGCGATGTGTAGCCAGAGAATCACATTTGTGCAAAAATGCCTTTTAAGAAGGCTTGGGGCCCAGTACCAGGACTCTCTGCTGCTGCAGGCTCTGCTGTGGGCCAGTGCTGGACTCGCGCCTGTGCCTTTCAGAGGCTGCCTCTCTTGAGTTTCTCTTGGCCCTGCTTTCGTCCCCCACTCACACATCCAGCCTCGGGCTCTGTTGATTTGTGGGTGGAATTTGCGAGTGTAAAGGGGTCCTGTACTGTTTGTTTCTAAGGCACAGTTTCAAAAGAAAACGGCATTTTATAGTCTGCATTAATGGGAAATTACTTTCCATTAGGTTTCTGAATGATTTGCACATAGTGTTTATAAAGTGAAGGAAAAATGTCAAGCATTTCACTAACAATTTAAAGCAAAGCTTGCAAGACTCTGCCAGAAATGAATTCCAAGCACATTTTCTTCATCATTTCTTCTTTCTAAAGAAAAAAAAGGAGGGAGAAAGGACTTAGGTCGAGTAGGCAGAATCCATGGTCAGATGGAAATGGAATCTTTGATAATATCAGGGGTAGGTAGTTAAGAGAATGAACAAAAGTGAGCCAACAAGGGTTGGGGGGTGTCACATCTTGAAATGATGGATTGCAGACAAAATCCATGTTTAGGCCTTGTCTAGGAGAAAGGACCGCCTGTCTAAGCCCATGAGAAAGGGGTCATGCTGCTTCATCAGCACATGCTGGCACTCTGTCCCCAAAGAGAAAAGGCCAAGAAAAGTCCTTGAGGTGAAATGGTGCATGTGCCATTTTCAAGAAAAGAGTGTAGGAACTTGTGACCTGTGCTCGAATATCTTCCCCACCCCCGTGCCATTTTTATCAGGCCCCAACTTGTCACTTAAAACCAAACCTGTTGCCGTCAGGCTGATTCTGACTCATGGCCATCGCAATCCCGTGTGTTACAGAATAGAGCTGAGCTCTGTGGGGTTTTCTGGGCTGTAATCCTTATGGGAAGAGGTCACCAGGCCTTTCTTCCTCAGGATCACTGGGTTCGAGCAACCAAGCTTTAGGTTAGTGGACAAGCACAAGCCATTTGCACCACTCAGGGACCCTAAGTTGTCACTTACTGAATTATAAATTTAAAGACTAGAGAACAAAGGATATTTTACAAATGTTATCAACTCGTTTATATATAAAGATTTTTTTTTTTAACTGAAATTCTTAAAGCGGGTACCACTTTCTATCATCACAACTAAAGGTTAATATGCTCCAAATCTGGGATTAACTTTAAAAATGTAGAAGGCTGAGAATAGTTAACAAATGTGCGTTCCAAATGTGTCATGCAGGCGTTTCAGAGTGAGGAGAAATAAATCTCTCAAATGGTTTATATTAAGACATTCTAACTCCCCTTAGGTATAAAAGAGACTTTTATAAATTTCTTGACACTTCTAAGTAGGCTCTGAAATAATTTCTAGAGTCTAAGTCGTTCCCCTCATTGGAGCAGAATCTTTAGGATTGCATTAGAAAGTAAATATTTATTCAAAAGTAAAGTGTGAAGTTTGAAAATTAAAGAAGATAAGCACATTACAAATAAAATATACGTACACACGTACACACACACACACACACACACACACACACACACACGTATAAAACCCGTTGCTGTGGAGTCGATTCCGACTCATAGCAACCCTATAGGACAGGGTAGAACTGCTCCATGGGGTTTCCAAGGAGCACCTGGTGGATTCGAACTGCCGATCTTTCGGTTAGCAGACGTAGCTCTTAACCACTACGCCACTAGGGTTTCCATATATATATATTTACCTAAATTTCCAAGGAGGAAATTAAAGTTTCAGAGTGGTGACAATGGTGATGGCATACTCCTCAGGTTATTTCTCAGTTTTCTCTCTTTTTCCCCCTCTTTTCTTCTGTTTTTTTGTTTGCCACTGGCCCTCCCTGCACATCCATGACTATATTTTATCAGCAGTGGTTCAGAGGCAGAGTTCATTGACAGGGGAGGAATGAACAAGGAAACAAGTAGTTCAGGCACTTATTAGCTGTGTGACTTTGGGTGAGTTTCTTAACATCTCTAGGCTGCTTTGACATTATCCTTAAATGAAGTGATTGGACTTGAGACTTACCAAGATTCTTTCTAGCTCTGAAGTCGGTGGCTGCAATATATATCTTTTACGAATACTTAAAAACCTGAAAAGTGATCAGGCTGAGTATTTTATATTTCCTATATTTTAGAAATATTATTTAAAGAAAAAGAAAACTCAGGCTGAGGTTTTCATTGTTTATCAGTAGCCACTGATGTAGGAAAGGAGAAGAGTCCCTTCTCGTATATTAAAATCTGAAGGAGGCACAGGTTTTCCTACTGCAGGGAATTGTGCTGTAATTCTTTTAAATAGTCTGTAAAAAGAGTTTTTGAAAAGCCTGTAAGACTTAACTTGTAACTTAGTTGTGGAAATTTTAAGACCACTTGGCTGAAATGGTTATAGGATTCTATTATCCCAATACTACATATTTTAAAATCTTAATATATATTCTACAACAATAACTTTGATCTTTATATCTTAAGATAGCATTATCTAAATATTCATATATGGGCTTCTGTTAAAAAAATATATTGTAGAAGTCAATTGTCTCCCGGAATTACAAACAGGGCCGCTATGTAGCACAATTCCAGAGAGTCTACGTTTGGATCCCCCTGAATAATGCCTCCTGGAGTTGTCCAGTGGGTGGCCCAGATTATAGGAACCGGAGACATAGGGACAGTATGAGAAAACAGTGCAAGGCCAGCGACAAATGGCACCTGACACGAGACCTCCGAGTCAGGAGCATGACCGGGGAGGTGTGTCTGGAGCCACCCAAAGGGGCAGCTGATGGTCAACAGCAGATGCTGGTTGCCCAGGAATGTGGGCCCAGGATAGCCAGCCTTTCTGATTTTTCAAGAGAAGCCAGAAGTCACATGTTTATGTGAAATCTCCTGATTTTTAAATATTGGCAACTAATCCATACTGTAAAAAGCAAGGAGCAGGCCAAACAAAACACAGTCTGCCGGCAATTCCTATGCAGCTGCCAGAAGGTCATCTCTGATTAAGGTTGTCATTTCTCTTCCCTTTTCCCATAACTCAGAGTGGCAAAAACAACCCCCAAACATGGGACCTGACTGTATTAGAGGGTTCACCTCTCAGGAGGTGTAGATATGGCCACAGCTTCTGAGGTATCTGCAAAAATCATCTCAATAGAAAAATCAGGGCTTTGTAAAGTAGAGGGTACAAACTTTATCAGTTAAACCCCCATATAATATAACCTGTTTAAATTGTGGAGAATTTATATTAAGGGTAAAATAAATCCACATACTTAATTTTATAGATCATAATGATTAAGCTTGAATTCCATCGACAAGTAATTTTAATATATCACATCTCCTGTGGATAAATACAGGGCTGTTATTTCTAGGAAGACATTCATAGATGTAGAAACTTTTATTAGACTGTTCTCAGTAATTCAGTACTTAACCATCATACAGATTAACACTTGAAATTTGCTGTTAAGGACCCAGATGTGACCAAGGTCACACAGTTGGTTACTGTAAAAGCTAGAGCTAGAACCCAGGGGTCTGAAGTTTCTGTCCAATAGGCAAAACTTCCCATTGTTGTCGAGGTGTTGAACAAAGTGAGTTTTCTGGTATTTATCAAAATTGTCCGACAATTGCTATATCTGGGTCAGCTAAGTTAGCTTCAAAAGAATTTTTCTACAAGGTTGGGAGAAAAAAAATGTATATATATAGCATTTAAAAGGAGCTTGAACCAGATATGCTCATTCTAATTCAAAAGAGATGGCGGGTCAAGCATGGTGCCTGGCTCAGAGAATGAGTCTGGGCCAGAAGTAACCTTGAAAGTTCCAAATCAGATTTTTTTTTTTTTTTTACCCTAAAATGTTAAGAGATGAATTGCCCAGCCAGGTAGTACAGATACAATCAAATCCCGAGGTGATTTTGGTTCTATTCCTGATTGGGCTGCTGACTCACCCCATTAACAGGCACCTTCCTCTCTGCTCCTTAATGACCTACTGGCAAAGAAACCAGAACCAAACTAGTTGCCCTGAAGTGGGTTCCAACTCATGGCGAACCCGTGTGTGTTCAGAGTGGAACTGTGCTCCATAGTTTTCAATGACTGTGATCTTTTGTAAGTTGATTGCCAGGCCTTTCTTCCAAGGCACCTCCAGGTGGTAGCAAAGCACGTAAACTGTTGGCATCACCCAGGGACTTGGTAGCGTAAGGATAATAAGGAAACACCTCTGAACTTCTATACTTCAGAACCAGGAAATGAGCAGAAAATGATCTGCCCAGCAAAATTGATGCCATCAGCAGATGTCACTGTTAATGGACTTTGGAATCAGAAAAACCAGAACCAGTTGCTCTCACGTTGATTTAGACTTATAATGACCCTGTGTGTTCCAGAATAGAACTGCACTCCATAGGGTTTTCAATGGCTGATTTTCCAGAATTACATTGCCAGGCCTTTCTTTGAAGGTGCCTCTGGGTACACTTGAACCTCCAACCTTTCAGTCAGCAGACAAGTGTATCAACTGTTTACAGAGGGAGGCGCAAATCCAATCTCTGTCACCTCATTCCTCTAGGCCTCAATTTCTCCATTGAAAGCACAGGAATTACCATACTTTATGAAAATAACGAGCACCCTCTACATTTGTTTCCTGGCCAAGTCCCTCCCCACTTCCAGCGAGGCGCTCTCACAAGCAGTACCATGCCAATCCTCTTCCACATGTTTCTATTAAAAAACAAAAAATTAGCATAGCATACTTACAAAAATACCTTGTGGGAGAGAGGGCGCAGTCGGCAAAAGGCGTGCATTATTTGCATAAAAATACGGTATCACCCCGGGGCACAGGATTATTCTAAGGATTAAATAAATTAGAGAATGTATGTGAGGTGATACTTGCTACACAGTAAGAGCCCAATATACACAGCTGTTGATGTTACATAATTGGTTGTCTAATTTCCAGCCTACAGCAGACTGGAAGCAGCAGAGTAGAAGGGCCTGAGGGACTGCTTCGGAAAGGCCCACTGGCAGCAGGAAAAAGTGACAGGTCGCAGCCTGACTACAAGGGAGGAAAGAGAAAAACTATAAAAAGCAGGAAAAAAAATTCAAAAGGCACAGCAGTCTTGGGCATTTATTAAAAGAACAAAGTGCCCTCTCAGGTCAGTAGCCTCCGAGAGACTCCTTACCTTACAGCCCCCACGGGGACTCATGTCCACAGCAGTAATGTGAATGATTTCTCTCTCCACCTCCTCCTCCTCAAAAAACAGGGGCGGGCGGGGGAGTGGTTATAGTTTGCCTTTCTTATTAGTGGGGACACTGACCAAATGCTTCCATGTATGAAATCCCCAAAGTCAGGATCAGCAGAGAAGAAACAACAGTGGGCTCCTTAGGTGGTCTAAAAATAAACCGTGTTCAAGTGCAACAAAAGAGCTGTAATTTTAGTGCTACAGAGAGAAGGCTGACCCCCTGCCCCACTGTCCACTCCTTCCAACCTGCACTTCCCGCAGAGTCAGGGTTAGAAGCAGGGCCCTTGGGAACAGGCTCCCAGATCCTGGGATATGGCTGACAGAGTGAATGCCAGGCTGCAAATGCCTGTCCGGCTCCATGCCATCTCCACTCTGATGTCTAACCCACCACCTGGAGTAGAGACCAGACTTAATTTTTTTTTAAATTGAAGCCTTGAACTGGTCACTTGGAATGCTGAGGAAAGCAGGACAGAGACGGAGTCCATGAAGGACGTTCCTTAAGCATTGCTTCCAAAGCTAGGTGGGACATGTGTAGACCTTCCTGAGGACCTTCATAGGATCCAGGGAGAAAATCCTCTTCGAGAGGATTCCAAAGCCCTGGGAGCTCCTGGGAACACGTCAAGCTGAGAACACAAAGGCTCATTCCAAGCCTGACCAGCTGGTGGACCACCCCCTTGGCTAGAGTTGACTCAGAAATTGAATGGGAATGAACTCCCAAGGTAACGTCAAATCTCAGCACTGCCACTTACTAATGGTGTGGAAAAATAAAGTGATCCCAGCACAAGACTTTTAAGGTGGCCAGTCAGGAAGTACTGCAGAACCAACACACAGTAGGCAGGGAAACCATGTTTTCCCTAAAATGATATTCACTCCCCTCTTGGGAATACTATGGATGGTCCTGTTTCTATCAACATTGGGACCCTTGTTATTTTAACAGCATGAAAATTTTTTGAAAGTGCCCACCTCCATCCCCATCGTTTTTTTTTTTTTCCCCAAGTCCTTGCTGCAAAGGGTTATATTCGCATATACAGAAACACTGAGTGCATTTTCTTCTGGTGATGGCAGTCCCACAATTCCTCAGCCCTATCCAGCTATGGGGATTAAATAATAGCTCTCAGGTTTTAGTGTTTACCATGTGCCAGGACAATATTCTCAGTGTCTCAGAGACATTAATGGATTTAATTCTCATGCCTAATGGTGTGGAATGGAGCCCACGTGCCATAGTGGTTAAGTGCTTGGCCCCACCAGCCGCTCTGTGGGCGAAAGATGTGGCAGTCTGCTTCCGTAAAGATTACAGCCTAGGAAACCCTACGGGGCAGTTCTACTCTATCCTACAGGGTCGCTACTATGAGTCGGAATCGACTCGATGGCAATGAGTTTTTTGGTTTAATGGTGTGGAACAGACCTTGAATAATAAATATTTAACAGGCACACTCCCTTTTCTCTGTTAAAATAATCTTTGTTTCAGTACTTTAACAAGGAAGACTGTGTTTTTCTCACCTCTGCTCTCACGTTACGGTAGGCCAATTCTCAGGAGTAAGAGAAAATAAACACAGGCTACTCGGCAAGGGCAGGAGAAGGCTGAGCTTCCGAGCTGGATGGCACAGGCCGGGGAGAGTTATCCAGTAGCCAATAAGCACAGTGCTTACCTTGCTTACCAGATCATCTTTAGTGAACAATTTCGCATGGGTTTTACCACATCAAAGATGTGAAATTGTTCACTGCAGATTAGTAGGTAAGCACAAGTGAACTCATGCTTACCTTGCTTACTGGGTCATCTGCCCCTGTCAGGAATTGTAAATTTGAAAAGAGGCTTTGATTCTGTAGGACGTTGCTGTGAGCCTGGGAGAGAGACAGATGCCAGCCGTACCTAGAAGCAAACTCTTTGCTATGGTGAAAAAGTGTGAAATTTTTCACTACAGATGATCTGGTAAGCAAGGCGAGTATGGTGTTTACCTTGCCTATTGGATAATCCGCTCTTGAGCACAAGGTTGCACTCGTGCACATAGATCCACGTCAGCCAGCGAGGAGCCTGGGTTCACTGCTTCTCAGTGCTTTCAGGTGCCACCTACTGAACACAGGAAAGCATGGAGGTGTGAGTAGACAAGGGCAGCAGTGGCAAGACCACAGTGGAAAAAGGAGTGGGTTGTCAAGACCACAGTAGGAAAAGGAGTGGGTTGTCAAGACCACAGTGGAAAAAGGAGTGGGTTGTCAACTAAGACAGGTCACTGGGTAGGACTGATCTTTTCTGAAGAGAAGAGCTTGGCAGAGGCGCTGGCTTCTGATCATGGGAAGCTTGGTCACTGAGGTACCTTGGAGATGTCTGTTTCTGGTATGGTTTGAAGGATCCCACTAAGAAAATGTAGCCCATTCTGCCAGACTTTCCGTTTCCATCCATGGTGAGGGTGACTTGTCTTTTGTGTAGAAGGAAAATTCACACATTATCACTCAGGTAGGCGGAAACTATTTCTCTTAACTGAGCTGAATTTGCTTATAAGCCTTCGCTTAGACCAATGGCGGAAACAACTTAATCTTTTTTCCATTTCTACTTTTGGCCAAAAAAAATTTTTTTTTTAAATTGTTTTTCCATTTCTTCTAATGGTGGAAAAACCCGTCATCTTGCCATTTCAAGGTAACTCAGGCTCTTCCAATAGAAAGCATAGCCTATCCATTTATTACTTAGTCAATTCAGGATGTAAACATAGTCACTTCAGAGTTGAAATTCCCTGTTAGAGCTGTTGGTTTTCCTCAAAGGTTCGTTCTTCCTTCTTCATTACCCCAAGATGTTATCTGAGTGCAAGGGAGAGTTTGGGGAACATCCTGGTGGCAGGTGAAGAGGGTTGTCCAGGTCCTCACTGGCTTCCACAGCTGAGGTAACTTGACACATCTGGCCTGGGGCCTGGGCTGGCATTTGCTGATGCCTGTAGCCCATGCCTAGGCCTCTGAGTTGCCAGGTCTCTGCATTCTGAGCTCTGTATGCCCTCTCCCACATCTCCCCTGGGCTAAATGCCCCCTCAGCACTTCCTTACTGCCTGTTGGGACTTGAGGGGTCTGTGGTTCTTCCCCAGCATTCACAGTTCAGGCCCCCTCTCTGCTTAATTACATCACACCAGCTGTGCGCCAGCCCCTCCCTGCCATGTTGGCGCAGGGCACTGTGGGAGTCTACCTTCTTCCATAGCTCCAGTGGGAAGTGGGGCCAAAGATTCTACCCTGGGGTAGAATCTAGGGAGCATTTCAACCCTTTCTGCCCTCTTCTTTCTCCAGGCCCCTTCCCCACCTCTAGAAAGGCTTGTATCTCTTACCTGTGTGGCAGGAAGTAGCCTTCCCTCTCCATGCTTGTAATAAAGCCTCTAAGCTCTGGTTCCTTGGAATCCAGAGGTATCTCTCTCTCTGGTCTCATAAGCACCTACCTGGGTCTGGCACAAAAGCCCAAAAACCTTGGCTTTCACAACTTTTCACAACTGAAATGGCACTATTTTGGAAATCAAAAGCTAAACATTGACTGCTTTGTTCATGTCTGGGGTCTGCCCTCCCACTAAGGTAAGGAAGGTCATAGCTACTTGGGATGAGGGCCCTGGGCAGCAAGAATGACCCAGAATAAAAAATGCATTGGATACTATTTCAGAATATCATCCTGCTGCATTTGTAATTCAGGAGGTCTGAGCTCTGGTGCCTGTGGACTTATCAGGAGAACTGCCTCGGTGGTGCTGCGGACAACACAGATGGGGTGGAAAGCCAGGTGCACACAGACATAACTGACTGGGGGGCCTTGCACAGGCTCTGTCTACCCAGGGGTCTCAGGAGAGATGCCTTGTTTGGGGTTTCTTGGCTGATGGAGTGTGACATGAGAGCTGGCCTCTTTCCACCTCTTAGAAAATCAAAGTGGGCATCGTAGCAGTTGTCCCTTGCCCAGAATAAATGAAGTGACAAGTGAATGATGTGTCTTTCCCCCAGTGTGTTCCGTGTGTGTGTGCAGAGAGTGCACAGGCGCGCACACACAGGTGGAGAGCTCAGATAAGTGTGTGCCTGCCATCATTTATGTTGTTCATTGCAGGTAGCTCCTAGCGTAAGTGGGAGGGAAAAAGAAATAGTTAGCCTGGTTGTCAGTGTGGTAGCCCACAAAATGGTTTGGCAACCCTTAGCCACATCATACGTCATATCAGAGGTCACAGGGAGCAGGGCAGGTCTGGGGGCTGGAGACCTGGTGTCTCATTCTGGCTTGGCTATTACTCCTGGGGCAAGGCCGTTGTGACCTCTCAGGAGCATTGCAACCTCCTCTTCAAAAAGAGGAGGGTGCATGGATGATCGCCAGATTCCCTCCTAGCATTAACACTTTGTGTTCAAGGAGATGCTTCCCGAGACTACCATGTGATTCAGTAACTGCCTGCCTCTCTGTAAAAAACTGGTAGTGAGAGAGATGCTAAAAGAATATGAATCATTTTTAGAGACCACATTAAAACAGTTATTAATAACATTTACTTTGACTCAAGGCTCAAGTTGCCATGTATTTTCAGTGCCTTCCCCCAATATGCACTAAATTTCCAAAGGAAAATGGAAAGATCTGTTATTGTAAACACTCTATTCCCTGATGCTTTGAAGTCATTGAATGTTATTCTTTTCAAATGCAAGATAAGGAACTGAGCCCAAGTATTTGAATCATTCCCTTCCCCAGTTCCCATCATTATGACAAAAGGAGTATACAAACTTGGGGGTAGGGGCAGGAATCTGCCATCCAAATGCTAGGAACTTCAAGTAAATTCAAGAGAGCAGAGTGCAGGTGGGGCCAGATTAAAGGGCTGACCTACTTGTAAGTCACCCCACGTGTAAGTCACCACATGGGAAGGAGCTGCCTTCCTGGAGAGGAAAAAGAGCCTCCCTCCCCGCCTTCCCTTTCTCTACCGGCTGAAACTTCCAAAAACCAAACCAAAATCGTTGCCATCCAGTTGATGCCAACCCATTGTGAACTTATAGGACAGAGTAGAACTGCCCTATAGGGTTTCCAAGGAGCGGCTGGTGGATTCGAACTGCCAACCCTTTGGTTAGCAGCTGAGCTCTATAACCACTGCACCACCAGGGATCCATACTTCCAAGTTCTGGTAAAAGAAAAGGGAGGAAAGAGAGGGCTGTTAGACTGGTGGCTCTCAACCTTGGCTGGGTGTTGGGGGCGGGGGCGGGGAAAAACAGTTGCTAGTGATTTGATTGTGATTCATGGGGAGTGCAGGTGTGTCAGAGTAGAACTGCGCTGCATAGGATTTTCTTCTTTTTTTTAATTTTTATTTTTTGTTTATTGTTGTAGTTTAAGTGAAAGTTTACATTTCAAGTTAATTTCTCATACAAAAGTTTATACATGCATTGTTACGTGACCCTAATTGCTCTCCTTATACTGTGATAGCACACTCCTCCTTTCCACCCCTGATTTCCCATGTCCATTCAACCAGCTCCTAACCCTCTCTGCCTTCTCATCTCACCTCCGGACAGAAGCTGCCCGTTTAGTCTCATGTATCAACTTGAGCTAAGAAGCACACTCTTCACGCCATAGGATTTTCAGTGGGTGATTTTTCAGAAGTAAATAACCAGGCCCTCCAAGGTGCCTCTGGGTGAACTCGAACCTCCAACCTTTCGGTTAGCAGCCTAGTGTGTTAACCAGTCCCTGGGTGGTATAAATGGTTAATGTTCTCGACTGCTAAACCGAAAGAAGTTCAAGTCCTTGGAAGAAAGACCTGGCATTCTACTTCCAAAAAAAATCAGCCATTGAAAACCCAATAAAGCACAGTTCTACTCTGACACACATGGGGTTGCCATGAGTTGGAATTGACTCGATGGCAACTGGATGTTGGAAACACCTGGGAAATTTAAATAGTCCTGATGCCCGGGCCCATCACCAGAGATTTCTGAGTTAACTGGTCTGGGGTGCAGCCTGGGCAGCGGGAATTTTAATGTGTGGCCAAGTTGAGAACCACTGCACTAGGAAGGCAATGGAGAGCCATCTCAGTACAGCCAGCGTGTCTGGGAAAGGTTGCTGATAAGAAGTCCCTGGGTGAGTGGAGGCTTGGTGTTCACTTCCATTGGGCATGGACAAAGAGCTGAAAAAGTCAGGAGTGGGGGCAACATTAAGGAGGACTGCCCTGTCAGATAACTGGGCACTACTCAGTGACTTTCAAGCTATGGGAGCAAATAATAATAAAATCCTCCTGACTTTCCCTTTCCCCACATTGTTGCCACCTCCCTACCCCTCTCCAGGACAAGGGGCTTCTTTCTCATTTGACCAACCACAGAAATACCAGTGTTTACCCTCTCTCTTTACTTGGCCCTAAAAGATTAGTGAGGAAAGAACTCAATCTCTAATAAACTCCAAAAAACCCTTTGCTGTTGAGTTGATTCCGACTCATAGCGACGCTAACAGAGATTATGAATTCTCAATTGACGTCTGTTGTTGCTAGTTGCCATCGAGTTGATTTCAACTCACGGCCACCTCGTGTGTGCAGAGTAGACCTGCTCCCTAGGGTTTTCAAGGCTGTGACCCTTTGGAAACAGATTGCGAGGCCTGTCTTTCAAGGTACCTCTGGTTGGGTTCAAACTGCCAACCTTTCACTAGTAGTCAAGCCCTTAACCATTTGTGCCACTCAGGGACTCCTAATTGAAGTCTCTTATTGTCGTTAGATGCTGTCAAGTCAGTTCCCACTCACAGCGACCCTGTGTACAACAGAATGAAACACTGCCCGGTCCTGTGCCATCGTCACAATCGTTGTTATGCTCGAGCCCATTGTTGCAACCACTGTGTCAATCCATCTCGCTGAAGGTCTTCCTCTTTTTCACTGGCCCTCTACTTTACCAAGCATGATGTAATGTTTAAAATTTCTATATGTATGCCAAAACAAAACAGAAATCCCCTTTCCAGTCCCATCCCCAATACACATTCCAAAAACAGAATTAAAAACCAGATAATAACCTGGGAGTAATGTTTGCATCAGACATAACGTATAAAGCGTTAGTATTAGTAGGCTAAAAGAGAGCTGTTCAAATTTTTAAGAAAAAGAATGATAGAAAACTAAATTGACAGTAAATGTCAAAAGTCTTAGAAAAATTCATGTCCTATGACCAGCGAATCCCTTTCTAGGAATTTATTCCAAGGAATTAATTGTACATGTTCATAACTATATATGAGTTAGGGTATTTTTCAGCGTTATCTATGAAAGCCAAGAGAGAATGAAAAAAGAAAAAAAAAAAAAAAGGGAAGAAGAAAGGAAGCGAAGGAGGGAAGAAGGAACTTAAATGTCCAAAAATAGGAGACTAGTCAAATAAATTATGATACAGTTGACAACTGATAGTAATTAAAAGCAATCTGGAAAGATGCTCACAATGATGTGTACAGGAAGATTCTTTTATGGAAACAACTATATTTAAATACATACACAAATATATTCATAAGGAAATCTGGAAGCTTCTATGCCAAAATGTTAATTTAACATTGGTTATCTCTGGGTTAATGGGTTATTGCTGATTTTTCTCAGTTTTGCATACGTATATTTTCTTTTCTTTCCTTTCCTTTTTTTTTTAAAATAATAACTATGTTTTAGTTTGAAATTAAAAAAATATTTTAAAAATGTTATTCTGAGAACTTCAGGCTAGGTACAGTAACCCCAAGACATTAGTTAGGCTGTTCTGTAAATATGTGCTCATTCCTCTCCTGGTCCTTCTCCTCGGCTCCTGCATCCTGCCCACGTTCCAGCTCCTGGCCACCAGCTCTAGGAAGAGCTCCCTGACCTCATAGGCCTTCCCTCTCCTCCGAGTTTCTGAGCCATATGTGATACCACCTCATACTTGTTCTTTCAGTGTTTCTCATGTCTTTGTCCAGTCTCCACAGCAGCAGGGATGGGCCTTGTGATTCTTCTGTACCTCCCTCAAGGCTCCAGGCAGAGCTGAGTAGCTGCTTCAGGGTGAAGGGCTGGGCCTGAATTCTCTGGCAAGGAATACTGATGAGAAAGTCACTGGGCCCAGGAGGTCAGCTGAGGTATCATCTAGCTGGGGTAGCTGAGCGGAGCCCAGAGCTGAGGAGGCCGAAGACCACAAGCACAGCACCTCTGAGCTGAGTGGAGCCCACCTTGTAGTAGGAAGGCAGGCAGAGACCTGCTGTTAATAGCCTTTCCAAACTCTTCAAATTTCCATGGATAATTTGTCATATTAATTTGTACTTTTTTTGTCTCCATATAATGTGAACAGGTTCTAACGTTCCCATGGACCAACCCTGCTGTCGTGGTCTCTATGACTTTGAGCCAGAAAACCAAGGAGAACTAGGATTTAAAGAAGGGGACATCATTACATTGACCAATCAAATAGATGAAAACTGGTATGAAGGAATGATACACGGGGAATCTGGATTCTTCCCCATCAATTATGTTGAAGTGATTGTGCCTTTACCTCAGTAAATGTGTAACTCGAACTTTGGACATACTTTCATAACTGAAATGAATTCACACCAATGCTCTCAGTGTGGTGTTCTGTGACATCCTTGCTCTTTGACCAGCTTAACGACTTTTGTATGTGTATTCTCTTTTTAATATATTTTGTATCACTTTAATTTGTATAAATGACCTTCTTGTCTTAGCTACATAAAAATATACAGTTTTCTTTTTTGCTTATTGTTTTGAAAGTCATTGGTTAAATGTATGTGCTTCTTGTTGCTAAAAACAAATGACACCCGTTGGCGTTATGTCAGTGGATTGCTATATTCCTCAGCTGCAATGGTTTTTAAAGGCAAAACTTGAAACTAAGAAATGCTAAATATTTTTTCTTGACATTACTGATGGCCTCCATTTTTTTCCCTTCAGCGTGTTTTGGCTTACCTGAGAATAGCCCAATAAATATGACAGACTGCACTGCCAAAAGACGTTGGTTATTCTGAATGTCGAGTTGATTTTCAAGCACGGTCTTCCAGCTCAAACTCCTCCTGTCCCATGGCTAACCAGGGGGTCGCAGCATGGATGTCTAGATGCTGCCCCCTGACCGGGGTCAGCACGCCAGAGAGTGGGCCTTTACTTCTCACCTGACTCAAACACAGCACACCCTCCTTTCTACGATGGGATGGAAAACCCTCCCATGCCTATTCAAGTTTATCTTTTAAAAGAGCCTAACTCAGCTACTGCTGTTGGCAAATACTGGGTAGGTTTTTTAAGCAAGTCCTGTTGTGGATGCTTAGGAAATAGCATGATCATGTAGGCTCAGTGAACCAGCCCCTGACCTTGCCCAGGGTCTGTACTTCTCATGTGCTTTGGCTCAGTGAAGCTCCACAACAACCCTGTTAGGGGAGTGGGAAGGTATCATTTCCCTGTTGGCAGAGAAGGAGACTCATTGAATGACTTGCCCAAGATCAAAGGGCCAAGAGGTGGCAGAGTCAGAGTTTGAACTCAGATTATACACTGTACCACACTGCCCACTTATGTCTCTACCCAGGTCATGTGGAAGTGTTACTGTTCACTGACATTTGTAACAAATGCTCAGAGGCCAGATTAGTTTGTTAAGGTCATCTAACACCAGGTGTCCCAGTCTCCTGAGTCCTTGGTACATCAGTAAATTCACAACAACATACTTGGGCATTTTCTCTCTCCTTTGCTTTCCCACCAGGCACCTACACACACACACACTCTTCTCCAAAACAGTTGTACCTATAGTGTCTGTAATAAAATGATGTTGTTGGCTGCCACTGAGTCAGCCCCCTGGGTTTTCTTCAAATCTCCCCTGGGACACTGAGCACGGCCAGCCAGGATCTGGCCAGTGGGCAGCACTGAGGGTTGGTCTCAAGAGGCTGACCAGGGGGAGTATAATCCTACTTGAGGTAGGAGAGAGTACAAAGAGCAGGAAGGGCAAGTGAAAAGCCATGTCTGTAAGGAACAACAAGAGATCAGCTAGGAGGCCAAATATTCACACCACGGCCAAGTCCAGAGGGCAGAAACAGGAGCAACAAACAGCAGAGAGTCAGGGAACTGTGGGGGACCAAGTCCTAGTGAAGTGGGCTCAGTAGGAAGATGCATCAATGTTTAAACATGCTGAATTACCTACCTAGAAGATGCCCAAAACTTGGACCAGTTTCCTCTGACATAAAGATTCTTATCTGCTTCAGAGGTGAGTCATGGAGATGGGGCTAAGGATCAAAGTGGATGTTATGGCTCCTCTAGGAAAAATTGTTTCAGCTTCTTGGATTGTCCTGGGACCAAGGGTTCCTGGGGACCTTTGGACTTAGAACAATTCAGGCCTAGACTGTTCCTATTAGGAGCTAGTTTTCATCTCCTACCCCACATGCAGGAATGATTAGTTATGTCCACCTGGGTAGAGGAGCGAGCGCCTTCCTTGGTTAGGTGTATCATTTGCTTTACAGCAGTGTCCTGTTTAATTTTCACAGCAACACTGTGTTATGGATTGAATTGTGTCCCCTAAAAAGGTATGCTGAAGTCCTAACCCCTGCACCAGTTAACGTGAGTTGTTTAGGGAAATGAGGTTTTTCTTTGCAGATATTATCAGTTAGGTTAATAAGTCATACCAGAGTAGCGTGGGTCCTAATCCTAGTCCCTATAAGTGGTATCTGATAAAAGAGAAGGGCAAGGACAAATATTGTATAATTTCACTAATATAAAATACTTAGAATAGGCAAATGTATAGAGATTAGAATTAAATAGTGGTTACCAGGGGTGGGAGGGATAGGATAAGGGAGGAATCATTGTTTAGGTAGCATTGGGTTTTTGTTTATGGGGGATGGAAAATTTGACAATGGAAATTGGCAATGACTGCACAATACGATTGATGAAATTGGTTTTATTGAACTGTGCACAGAAAAATGTTGAATTGGCAAATGTGTTCTTTATATTTTTACAACAATAAAAAACATTTTTCAAAAAGAGAAGGACAGACATGGATAGAGTCACATACAAGGGGAAAACAGATGCCATAAGATGACGGGGGCAGATGCTTCTATACGCAGCAAAGGAAAGCCAAGAAACGTCCAGGGCTACAGAAACTGAAAAAGACAAGAAAAGATCTTCCCTTAGAGACAGCAAAGAGAGAGAGAGAGTAGTCCTGCTGATACTCTGAATTTGGACTTCTAGCCCCCAGAACTGTGAGAAAATAAACTTCTCTTCTTTAAAGCCACCCACTTCGTGGTATTTTGTTGTGGCAGTCCTAGGAGACTAAGACACACTGTACGGCAGGTTGTAATGTTTCTATCTGCAGATGAAGAAATACAGGCTTAGAGAAGGTAAGCCACTTGCTGAACGTCACAGAGCTCAACTCTAAAGGCTGTTCTATTTCTTACTGCTCGATTTTCCTGTCATATTTATGTTTTGGAGAGTCTGCCTGTCTTAGGCATCTAGTATTGCTCTGACAGAAATACAAGTGGATGGCTTTAACAAAGAGAAGTTTATTCTCTCACAGTCCAGTAGGCTACAAGTCCAAATTCAGGGCGTCAGCTCCAGGGGAAGGCTTTCTCTGTCGGCTCTGGAGGAAGGTCTGTGTCATCAATCTTCCCTTTGTCTGGGTGCTTCTCTGTGCAGGAACTTCAGGTCCAAAGGACACGCTCTGCTCCCGGCACTGCTTTCTTGGTGGTGTAAGTTTCCCAATTCTCTGCTTGCTTCCCTTTCCTTTTATCTCCTGAGAGATAAAAGGTGGTGCAGGCCACACCCCAGGAAAACTCCCTTTACACTGGATCAGCGATGTGACCTGGGTAAGGGTAGTGTTACAATCCCACCCTAATCCTCTTTAATGTAAAATTACAATAAAAAAATGGAGGACAACCACACAATACAGGGAATCATGGCCCAGCTAAATTGATACACGCATTTTTGGGGGGACATAATTCAATCCATGACACTGCCCCACATATAACTTCTCCTTTGTCCACCAGGCGCTCTTTGGAAACTCTATGGGGCAGTTCTACTCTGTCCTATATAGGGTCGCTATGAGTCAGAATCGACTCAACGGCAACGGGTTTGGTCTGTCCACTAAAAAGGGGCCCTTTAACCATTTCGTACCTTGTGACCCTGCCCTACGCAGTTGATTAAGCGAAGAAGGGGCCGCCAAGGGAGAGTGCAAAGCCAACATCAAGAAAGAAAGACAGAAAGAATTAGGTTACTAAAAATTTTAGGGACCTCAGGAAAACAAAGGCAACCAAGTAAGACTAGAAGAAGCTGGGCTCTATTTGGATGTCACATGATGGCATTGTTCACATTATAAAGCCATGAACTTTCCCAACAAGATTTCTGCAACTGAGAGAAAGCAGAATCTACAGAATGGTAAGACTTAGTTTGAAACAGAAAATTCTGGTAAGAGGGGAAATAGGTAAATTGGGACCATGAAGAAGGGGAGGCCTGGAACTCAGTAGTGATACTTTCTAGGGTCAGGGCAGCCAGCCTTTGCTCCAAGGCTTGGTCAACAATCTGGGCCCATGAGATTTAGTTATTAGTCTTCGGCTTCATTTAGCATGATTAGACACATTCCTCCTAAGAAAGAGAATGAGGATTCATGGGGCCACAGAGGACACACAGAAATATACAGTTCTTAGAGGTCAATTTGGAGTCCCTGTGTGGTACAAATGGTTAATGCACTTGGCTGCTAACTGAAAGAGTGGAGGTTTGAGTCCATCCAGAGGTGCCTTGGAAGAAAGGCCAGGTGATCTACTTGCGAAAAATCAGCCATTGAAAACTCTATGGAGCACAGTCCTACTCTGACACACATGGGGTCATGCTGAGTCAGAATTGACTCTGGCAACTGGTAGAGGCCAGTTTAAATATGAAGTGGGGAAGCATTTTTTGTGGGGTCTCTTTTAACCTAATGAGTATTAGGGGTATGATCAAATTTAAGATTACGTTTATATGGCCAATTGATAGAGATCACAAAATACTGATTGTTTTTGTGACCATGACAATTAAAGACTCTGAGAAGCCAGGGGAGATTCCTGGTGAATGTAAATATATAAATGTCCAGGCTTAGGAGAGTGTGGTTGACCTTAGTGCTGCTCCCCAATATTTGCAGTTGATCTCTCCTTCTAGGACATGAGTGGTTTGACTCTCCCCCTTGAAGTAAAGTGTGTATATGTGACTTGTTTGGGATAAATGAAATGTGATCAGAGGAAATATGTCACTTCCAGGTAGATGGATTTAGGTCTAGTGCACAATTCTCCATGCTCTCGCTTTACTTCAGAGGTGCTCGTGGAAGCATATGTTGATACGGAGGCCACAGATGGAGAACAACTGCCTTGGAAAATGGCCTGGACCCACCCACCGTGGACTTTAAGGGAGACACAAATAAATATTTACTGTATCAGACCACTGAGATTTTGGTCGTCTTCATTACTTGAGCATTAACTTGTCTCTCATGACTTAAACTGATAGTTTGGGCTGTGGGTAAGTATCTTAGGCTGGGTGCTCTAGAGAAGCAAAACCAGTAAAGTGTATAAATATATATAGAGATTTATATCAAGGAAATGGCTCACACAGTTGTAAAGGCTGGAACGTCCCAAGTCTGTGCGTCAGGATAGAGGCTTCTCCTGATTCACAAAGCCATAGGGATGGCAAACCCAAGATCGGCAGGTCAGAGAGCAGGGCTCTTGGTCACAGGCTGTGAAGACTGATGAATCCCAAGATCAGCAGGCAAGACCACAAGTAAGCCGCTAGCTCGAGTCTCAAGAACCAGAGGTCAGATGAACAGGAGACAGCTGCAGGATTCAGTGTGAGCAAAAAGCCCCTGAGCCTTGCCAGAATGTCTGCTTATACTCGATGCAGGCCACATGCCCAAGGAAACTCCCTTTCAACTGACTGGTCGCTCACAGCAGATCCCATCATGGGGGTGATCACATATCAAATCTCAAAAGGGAAGTGATCACAACATTA